AATCCCATGGATGGAGGAGCCTGGTGGGCTGCAGTCCATGGGGTTGTGAAGAGTCGGACACAACTGAACGACTTCACGTTCACTTTTCACTTTCATGCATCAGAGAANATTCTGGGAAAGATTTAAGGCTGGAGGAGAAGGGGATGACAGAGGATGAGATGGTTGGATGGCATCACCAACTCAACGGACATAGGTTTGGGTGGATTCCGGGAGTTAGTGATGGACAGGGAGGCCTGGCATGCCACGGTTCATGGGGTCACAAAGAGTCAGACACAACTTGGCGGCTGAACTGAACTGAACTAAAATTTCAAAAGCAAAAGCCAGTGTCTTCTAACCTAGGTTCCCCCATCTAACTGCCAAAGAAGACTAGTGCTTACCCATCATGTTGAGCCCAACCTGTTTTCTTACTCAGAGAAAAGAGATGCCACCATCCTCTGTTAATACTGTGATGACTCAGTTCAGGAATTAGGAAAGCTTTGAGAAGGGTCAGGCTAGATCTTGGATCTTCCTTTCCTTTTGGTTCCCTTTCTGATGCCAAGGGATTCACAGTCCAGAGGTGTGAAGCCTCAGGACCCTAGCAGACCGAACCTAACCAGTCCCTCTTCTTCGGGAAGTGATCACATGTGCCCAGTGAAGGTCACACTTCCATAGAGTCCTGATTTCCCAACTCCATCAGCCTGTTTTTTCCTCCTTGAATTATCTAAAATCAATAATGATTCCTTTTTAAAAGTCACACAGAATAAAGATGAGCATGAACCCAGTGATCTTAGATAATCTATGCAAACTCTGTGACCTTGTTTCTTTATCTGTAAAATGGTCACAGAGTAAATCTCAGAGATAATATTTAAGAGACTTTCTGTGCAATAATAGCCCCCCAACTTAGCAACTAGACGACAACACCCGCAACTCCATACAGAATGACACTGGCAACTTCACATATTATGATGTGTGAGCCCTACAATCACCCCTTCAAGTTGACACAGCAGTTGTCCCAACCTCCATTTTCCAGATAAGTATTTCCAACACACTCTCATCTCTAAGTCCCTGCCCAGTTTTGATGTACTACATTTCTGTTTAATAGAAGAGAAACAGAGACATATTTGGTGAACAAGTTTCAAAAGGATCCAGAAAACACTTCTTTCTGAGCCTAATATTACATAATTTGGTTTGCAGGGTAAACAGTGGAAATATTTTAATAGTAAGGGGCAAGATCCTATTTCATTTTTTCCTTGCAGTGTTGAATTGGCACAATTACAATGGAAACAGGTAAGCCAAGTTAAAAAGAAAGAAAAAATTAAAAAAAGTTTTGGTTTTTTTTTTTGTCTGTCTTTTTTTATTTTTTAATTGAAAGATAATTGCCTTACAGAATTTTGTTGGCTTCTGCCAAACCCCAAATGAATCAGCCATAGGTCCCTCTTCAGCCTCCTCCCATCTCCCTGCTCACCACACCTCTCTAGGTTGTCACAGGGCCCTTGAGTGAGTTCCCTGCGTCATACGGCAAATTCCCACGGCTGCCTGTTTTCCATACGGTCGGTAAGCTTCCACGTTACTCGCTCCTTACATCTCACCCCTCCTTCCTTCCTGCCCCACCCCACCCTGCCGCGTCCATCAGTCTGTTCTCTATGTCTGCGTCTCTGTTGCTGCCCTGCAAATAATTTCATCAGCACCATCTTTCCAGATTCCATATACATGTGTTAGCCTATTTACCTTCCTTTTTCTGAAGTAAGTACTTCACTCTGTATGATAGGCTCTAGGTTCATCCACCTCATTAGAACTGACTCAAACGCGTTACTTTTTCATGGCTGAGTAAAAAGCCAGAGCTCAAAAACAAAATGGCGTCTGTATTAAGCTTAGGCTATCGTAGCAATCCACCATTTATTTTCACTTCAAACAATTTATTACATTTCTCCCCTAAAATAGTCAAATAATTTTAATTAGCTGCTTATTTCATGCAAAGTGTACAATATTTATTTACAAAATTTAACTGAAATCTATAATATGTTCCCCCCAATTTTGTTTTCCTGTGTAATACACATGTTCACACACATATAAACAAAAAGCAATACATATACAGGTGTATGTGCCATCAGAATTACCTGTAATATGGCATTTATATGCATAGCATATATTATGAACACTGTGTGTGTGTGTATATATATAAATACATATATTGGGTTTTCAAAGGTATTCTTATTTACTCATATTATTCAGAACTTAACCCAAAAGAGAATTCATAATGGCAAATATTGGAAATCCACTCATAAAAATGAAAACATTATAATTTAATTCATAAATGACAATGATTAAGGGCAGAAATATAAATTCTTTAAAAAGCAAATTTATACAGTATCACTAGTATGTAGTTATTTCTACACTATTCCATATTCAGGGAATGTAAGTACAGAGTTAATGCGATGAGATAGAAGTCAGTGATTAAACTGAATAATTATATCAATCCAAGAGATGTACTTTTTGTGTGTGGTAGCTCGCTTAAGAATAATCACTTCACAAACCTACCTAGATCTCAAGTGCATTTGGGTATTAAAACTTAATTTAAAACTTCGCTAAAAAATTCCTTGAACTCTCTATAGAAAAGGTCTAAAGTAAATGCAAAAAAATTATCATCAACATCAGTTAAAGCAATGCTTTGCATTTTTCCCCCTAGAGAACACAAGAGTCAAATTCATAGAATTATTTGATTAGGCCAAAAAAGTTCATTATTACATTTACAATGAGTCATTATGTCTTTATTTTATGAAATCATATTTGCTTTCTTAAAATATTTTTGTAAAATATTATATTAAGTCTGACATCTATACATATATTAATCATATATCTGTATATATATTATATATACGTCAGTCTGATAATACATATATACATTCGCACGCAGTCAACACCTAAAATCTGTTTTTCGTATACTATGTTGAGTATACAAATATTTCTTGATTCTCAAACATTACTCTCAAGAAACAGGTACATATATCATTATTTTAAATATTAAAATAGCTATAACAATAGTTCCGTATCTAAAGTGGGAAATTGTTCAACTTCATAATGTTATCGTCGTCGTGGTTTCCAGGGCAACGCCTTCGCTCCCCTGAGCTTGTAACCATGGACTCTGCCCTAGAGAGGCTTGGACAGAGTGTAACTGAATGCTTTCGTTGCTCTGTTAGGAAATTGAAGCCCAGATTCTCAGATTCCTGACTTCTCACTCTCAGTCCAATAGTTAGTGTCAGAGCAGGAAATAAAAGGGAGGTCCTCTAGGCCCTGTTCCAGCATCCTTTCACCTATGCTATACTGCCTGCCACTATTCTAAGCCAGCTGACACTAAATGCATACACACAAACATACCTCATATACAAACTATACATATAAACACCAACATATCCAAGCCATTTGCTTCAGTCAGGTCATTTTAAGAGTCAAACTACATTCTTTATGATTTTCTAGTACTACAAACAAAACATTGTTATCATTTTGGCATGATAATGACAAGATGACTTGTTGGTTATGGAAATAATTGGTTAAAAAGAGAAGAATCTGTATCACACTACTTTTCTAGATCTTTTCATTCCTTTTCATGTCTTTTACCGCGTCTATTGTTTAGGAACCTATAATCATGAACAGTTAAAAGACATGTAATAATATCTAGGCAGTTTACACCATGGTTCCCATTTGCTAACCACTTATAACAATACGAAATATGAAACACTGTAAGAAAAAGTAATTTTTCTATTTAATTAAATATTTATCTACAAATAACAAACAGATCCTAGAGCCTAGATGTGTGTTTTCCTACAGAGTAGCCACCAGCCCCCTTGTTGGGCCCTTGAAATGCGGCTGGTTGAATTGAGATATGCTGTAAATATAAAATACACTGCAGATTTCAAAGACTTTACCCCTACAAAAAAAATGGAAAATAATCTCAATTTTATACTACTGTATGTTGAAAGGATAATATGTGTATATTAAATAAATAAAATATATTATTGAAATTAATGTGACCTGTTTCTTTTCAGTTTTTTAACATGGCTACTGGAATATTTAAAATTGCCTATGTGATTTATATTTGTGGTTCATCCTATATTTCTATTGCTCATCCCTGGTTTGATCATTCTTTATCTTCCTGTCTGAAATATCTCATTTCCTATTCCCTCAAGTTCAGAACCTACCCTACACGATTAAAGATGACCTTGTTCTTGAACCCTTTTCTGATCTCTCCCACCAGGAAATGAATCCTTGCCTCTGAAGCATCAGTATCTTGCTTCCAGCCCTGACCACTCTATTCTAACACCACTACTAGGATGCAAGTTACCAGCAAACATGGTCTGTTTTTATGCATGTTTGTAACCTACAAAACAACCAGCATGGAGCTTTAGTAAAGCATCAGTAAATGTTTACTAGACAGGTAAGCAAAGAAATTTATTCATAATATATTTGTCCTCAGTTCACTTTTTTAAAATTATTTATTTTAATTGAAGGCTAATTGCTTTACAAATTGTAGTGGTTTTTGCCATACATTGACATGAATCAGCCACGGGTGTACATGTGTGCCCATCCTGAACCCCCTCCCCCCTCCCTCCCCATCCCATCCCTCTGGGTTACCCCAGTGCACCACCCCTGNCCCTGAGTGACCTGTCTCATGCATCACACCTGGACTGGTGATCTGTTTCACATATGGTAATATACATGTTTCAATGCTATTCTCTCAAATCATCCCACCCTCCCCTTCTCCCACAGAGTTCAAGTCTGTTCTTTACATCTGTGTCTCTTTGGCTGTCTCGCATATAGGGCCATCACTACCATCTTTCTAAATTCCATATATATGCATTAACATACTGTATTGGTGCTTTTCCTTCTGATATTTCACTCTGTATAATAGGCTCCAGTTTCATCCACCTTATTAGAACTGATTCATTTTTGTTCAGATAAATCTATCTTGAAAGATTAGGATTTTCTAAAGTACCAGGTCTATGATTTAATAACAGGATACATACCAGCTGACTCTCCGATACTGTAGAAGATGGTGAGGACAGGTTTGCCTGCAAAATTATAAACACAGTGTTTTTTAGTGAAATTCACAATTTAGTAAAATAATATATCTATGTTTTTTAAGTATTTTGAAGTTTTTTGTTATCAAAATAATATATATCAATTGTAGAATTTTGACAGATATTAAGTAAAGGAAAAATACCATTATGCCAACTCCAAAATAATTGTTTTACATTTTTTGCTCATTGCCTTTCAATATTTCTCCTACACATTTTCATTCAGCTCACATAGTGGTATATGTGATGTTTTCTAGAGTGCTTTTCCTTAGCATCTTAACACAAGCACCAGCAAAAGGCATCAAGAATTCTTCAAGGTGATGTAATATTTCATTCTTCATACACTCCATAGTCTACTTATACCAACATTGTTAGCTATTTATATTTATTTATAATAGCAAAAGAAAACAACAGATTTTTTCCTTAAATTACTCACATTAAAAAAATTAAGCTTTCATGAAAAAAATCTTTGGTTTTTTAAATTGTTTTAGATTAATATTGCTTCATCATTCTTGGTTCCTGAATTTCACACCTTTCTTTTGGATTTAGTTTCCTTCTCACTGAAGTAAATGCTTTGATATTTTTTTTCAAACTTCCCATCTGAACTCTCTCTGAAAATGTCTTTATTTTGTTCTCATCTTGAGCTAGAATTTACCTGAACATAGAATTCCAGGATAATGGTTATTGTTCCCAGCATCTTGAAGATACTGTCCACTTGCTCTGACTTTCATTAATTGCTGTCAGTCTAAATGTCGTAACTTGGATTATTTGTCTTCACATTTGGTTAGTGTTTGAGGTTTTTCTCCAAGGATTTCTGTAAGCTCACTATGATGGGCCTGAGGGTGACCTCCTTTTACGTGTCCTTCTGTCGGGCTCGGTATAGGCCTTTACTCTGAGTATGCATACCTTTCTTTGATTCTGGAAAATCCTCCAGGAATCTCTTCACATATTGCTTCTCTCCTATTATATCTAATCTGTTCTTTAGAGTTTCAATGAAATATATGTTGGGTCTTCTGAATCCATCTTTCATTTCCATAAAACTCCTTGTCATATTTTTTTAATCCCATTATGCCGCATTCTGGATTGTTTCCACATACAAGCCTTGACAGTTAACGAATCAATATATGTTAAACATGGCCATTGAATTTTATATTTTTATGACAGCATTTTTAACTTCAAGGAGTTCAGTTTGATTCTTTATCAAATCTTTTTATGGTATCCATAACTCCTTTTAACTCTTTCAACATTTTTATTATATGTGTATTTCATTCCAGATTTTTCTATAATCTCTCATGGTTAAATCAGGCTTCCCAGATTGCACTCACTAGTGCTAAAAAACCCACCTGCCAATACAGGAGACAAGAGATGCCAGTTTGAACCTTGAGTCGGGAAAATCCCCTGGAAGAGGGCAAGGCAACCCACTCCAGTATTCTTGCCTAGAGAAATCCTATGGACAGAGGAGCCTGGTGGGCTACATCCCATAGGGTCGCAGAGTCAAACATGACTGAGCGACTTAGCACACACACACACATGATTAAATCTCTGTTTCTTGTATCTGCTGACTCTCCTTCATGCCTCTGTCCCAAGATGTCCTTCACTCATTTGGTGACTTTTTAGTTTTGATTTTGAGCTCCTCTTTAGTCATTACTAATTTTAGTGATGATTTCTGTAGGTATCTGAGAAACCCTGGGTTGGGAAACCATGCCAATAATACATTTCATGTTTGTCCTGGTGGGGGGCCCAGGTGTTTCACTGATTCTGGGCAAGTTTCCGTTGTATTTCATCAGCCTCACAGGGGCGCAGGTCCCCACATGTTCAAGTTTCATAGGTTTGTTGCTGTGTGTGCACTCAGTTGTGGCCGACTCTCTGTGACTCCATGGACTGTAGCCCGCCAGGCTCTTCTGTCCATGGAATTTTCCAAGCAAGAATACTGGCGTGGGTTGCCATTTTCTCCTCCAGGGGATCATAACGACCCAGGGATCAAACCATCGTCTTTTGCATCTCCTTCGTTGGCAGGCAGGTTCTTTATCAACTGCACCACCTGGGAAGTCCCATTGAACCTGCTCCAAATTCTTGGTCTTCATAAGTTTAGCACCCATTTTTTTATGGATGTGCAGGAGTGCAGGGTACTCAGGAGTGCAGGGTAAAGATGTTGGAAGGATGTATGTCTATTTCTATCCCACACTTCATGGATATGGGGCCTTCCAGACACCTGGATGCACACAAAGGATTCATTTATAGCTCACAGATTCACTATGCAGTGAAAGCTAAACTCTAAGTTCCCAACTCCGAGGTTCTGCTGTACCTGTGTCCCATAGAGCTTATACTTATTTTCCCATCTTATATTTTATTTTCCCACCTGGAGCTCTCTCTTCATATCTGGCACCCACAGTTTCACTTTCTTTCTTGTAGTTTGAGATACATATATACTTTAACAGTTACATATTCTCAAGCTATTCTGCCCTTAAATGGGAGGCTGGGCTTCCACATCAGCTCAGCTTTCACCATTGCTGGGAAGTGGGCAACATATATAATTTTTTTTTTTGGCTACACCACGTGGCATACAAGATCTTCCTAAACTAGGGATCAAATGCTTGTGCCCTGCATTTGAAGTTCAGAGTCTTAACAACTGGCCCAGGGAAGTTCAGGAAGTGGTCAAATACAGATGCACAATTATAAATATACTTGGCTAAGACCCAATAATGCTGTGTTCCTAAACTATTTCTATTCTTTTTGAAATTGCAAACATTTTCAGGGTTTATGACAGACGAGTCAATGCTGTCTTTACCCTCTGAGAGGTGAAGGATGACTGAAAACTGAAGGCCGACTGACGCCCATGGTATTGCCAAGCACACAGGAGTGTGAATCACTAAACGTGACAACCAGGCACCTGCGGTCCTTCTTGTACTGTGTCCATCATGGTTTGTTTTAATTTTTGACTCACGCCATTCTTCACCAGGATGGCCACTGTTCACTGGCATTCCTGGCTGCTCTAAGGCAGCAGGCTGTCCTAGCTAACGGCTTCCTACCTCGAGCTGCCCTGGCTAATAGCTGGGGGCCAGGTTAGTGTCCACTAAGGTTTCTGACTCTTCTGTGCTATAGAAAATTGCCCTTCAGACTGCTCATTCCAGTAATTGCCCAGCTCACCAAAGGCTTCATTTTTAACCTTGTAATGCAATATGAGTAATGGTTACTTCTAATGTCTTAAGATCTTTTTCCTTTAATTAATTTTTCACTATTGGAATAATGAGAGAATTTCTCTACTAACTTCCTTAGCTAAACAGCCTCTATGAAATATGCTGAACTAAATGTGTCTTGATGGAAACAAAACATAGATAAGAGGCTTCTCTGGCGGCCCAGTGATTAAGAATCTGCTTGGCAATTCAGGGGACACTGGTTCGATTCCTGGTCCAGGAAGATTCCACATCCAGTGGAGCAGCTGGACCCCATTCACCACAGTTGCCGAGCCTGCGCTCTAGAGCCCTAGATCCACGACTGCTGAGCCCAAGTGCTGCAGGTATTGAAGCCACGTGCCCCAGGGCCCGTGCTCCGCAACAAGAGACGCCACAGTGAGAAGCCCACACACTGCAGCTAGAGCTGTCCCGCTCACCACAACTAGACACAGCCCTCGCAGAATGAAGAACCAGCACGGTCAATAGACAAATAAAATATTTCAAAAAGCATGGTTAAGCTTTTATCTCAGTAATTTTAAGAGAAAAGAAGTCACCCACTAAAAATATTTGCACAATTTAACTACATCACTAACATTTTTCAGTACTTTGGGCTAAATAACACCAGACTGTCATAGAGAAAAAGATAAAATACTCAGGCAAATATATTAATTAAATTAGGGGAAAACCTATATATCTTTGTATTCAATCTTCACAAGTCCCCCAAATTTCTTCACTGAGAATGATGACATAACAATAAGGTGTTTTAGACATCTCCAATACATTTTTATTTCATCTAATATAATGGACTTCATATCACTATTATGAGAAACTATTTCCAGAGGGGGGAAAAAAACAGAATTAAATTCGAACTTTAAGGTGGAGTAAATATTTATAAAGCCACTGCAGATCCTTTATCAAAGAAAAAGAATGTTGGCTTATGTGTATTATCACTAATAAAACCAGACTCTCTCAACTAATCTAGTATCAAACCCTTAGAGAAACCTCCTTCTCCTTGCCCAATATGGGTTAAGATTGTTTATTAAATTCTGTAGCTATAGTTATGTTACCAATATTCTAGCAATGATTTTTCAAGAGTAAGGAAAGACTGTTTGGTGAGCTGAGATTGGAGCTGTGAATCGTGAGAGGAGACTACTATATTTAAACAACTGCCCATTGGTTAAAAAAAAAAAAAAAACTAAACTAAGGAAGAGAAGGAACATGGGGTAAAATAAAATAAAAATAAAATAAAATAAAAATAAACCTGAAGCTGGACTTGAACAGCACCAAGGTTATTAGTTATTTGATCTGTCCATGAAGAACATTAGAGTGAGGGTAAGAATGGCTCTTGTGTGAAACAAGGTCCTCTGGTCTATATTCTATAGCCTTTGACATCATTTTAATTACTAAAGAAAGAAAAGTTGGAGAGTGGATGTATTTTAACCCATTTATCATCATTAAAAACCAAAACAACACAAAACTTTTTAAAACAAACAGAGCAGTCAAAAAATTGTAAAAATCAAACCTTCTTATTTCAAAGCAAATCTGTTAAAAAGGCAAGTTACATGCAAACTAATAGAGTTAGACTAAAGAAAGAAACAAGGATTTGAAATCCACTGATAAATAAATTGCCAAAGACCTCATGCCTGAGGAACATAAAGAAAAACCAAGCTCCCCAGTCATTGCCCAGTGTTGCTTTTTCATGACACGCACATCAGTGTTGTTCTTACCCTCTGAGAGGTGAATGATAACTGGGAACTGAAAGCAGAGTGGTTCCTGTGGGATCAGTAAGCATGTAGGCACATGGACCAGCAAACATAAAGA